CTTAACACTTACATACAATGACTTAATAGAAGATTAAATAAAGGCATGGACGATAATTATGTTGTGTTGCTGGCTTGATCTTCGAACTGTCTTCATTGCTTTCACCATATTCTATATTGTATTCATGTACTACATAACATTATGATAATAAACTTTATTTGTATAGCACCTTTCATACATACAATGCAGCTCAAAGTGTCCCGTCATTGCCAATTAGTCAATTTCCAAGGGGCGTTATTAATGGGTGCAGACCAAAATGACTCTGGAAGCAACTGTATAGCCCTACAACCCCAGCTGTTGCATTGGTTATTGGCAATTAAATACAATGACGATGAGATAATGTAAAATGATTACCTGAGCCTAGTAAACACAGAATAAACAGGTACAGATCATATCGTCCTGTTGTTTCTCTCTAACCACTTCAGTCAGAAAAACGCGGAACATTGGGTTTCCCTTGGGCAAACTGATATTTTCCACCTGTAAATGGTAAATATCTGATCCTGTATTTTTCCACACAAAAACACATACTGTGATTTTCCGTTGTTTGGAAAGGAAGTAAGAGGAATGTTTAGGCCCCACATTTCGACAAGTGCATATCACTCACTACTGAGGGGGGGAGTATTGTCTTTCAGACCCATGAAGAGCACCATGTATTACATACCAGAGGAACAGAGTTAATAAAATTCCTACAATTCCTGCTTTTTTTTTATCCCAATAGTAATAAAAACACAGAATGAAATGGGGAACTATAAATAGACACTGAATATCTAATAATACCACATAATGGGTTCCTGCCAATGTTGAGCTCACATTGTGCTCTTCTGACCCTGACTGTGGAAATCAATCACAGCTTCATCCGTCCCCTAACCAAACACCATATTGTCTCAATTTCTTGTACATGTAATGTAAAAGCTATTCTTGCAGCAACAATTCAAAGGCGGCAGAAGATCTTGGCCTACTGATATGGATAAGAAAAACATTTATCAAAAAGGTAGTCAGAACGATTTTGATCATACAATGCACAAGGCACCCCATGCAAAACAGATACAGGGCAACTAATTTATAAACTCGAAAAGAATATGTTACAACACAGATCACTGAATCACGTGTTTGGCCTGTGCAGTGTGCCATGTTGTTGCCATGACGGCACAGTGTGTATCTATTCATGACATCCAAATACATGACTCATGTGCTTCTATAGACCCATCACATCCTTATGTGCCAGTGGTTTTATACAGTCATATCAAAACAGAGCTGACATTGGCACAATTTCTTGTAGAAATGTTGCCTACGGACATGCTGAGGATGATGATGATTGTGGGGGTGGTGGTGGTGGTGGTTGTTGTAACGTGGGCTGGGATTGCATCACCTGTATGCAGGTCAACACAAGTTGGAGGCAAAAGATATTGTACAAACTGGGAAGGTGTACCATTACTTTTAATCTGTCAACTGTCAGTTCAGTTCATCAAAAGACCAGGATGTTACCTGTGCTAATTCATGAGGGTTAGTCTATAATTTCAAGGTATTTAATAGTGAGCTGTCACACCTCCCTAGTTCAGTTAATGTGGTTCGTACCATTGTTGCCTTCGAGTTGTGGTCCAGTTTGTGTTCACAATTTTTATTTTAAACAAACGAAGCAAGAGCTGAACACATCAAATTATACAGACTGACTCACTGTTTGGGACAGTTTTGGCGACTGTCATCTTGCAGCGACTGCCCCACTTTAATGGTTCTTATGTGCATACATGTACTGGATACTGTATTTTATTTATTTTGATATTTATTTAGATTTTTTTTTTTGGGGGGGGGGGGGTTTTATCATGTGGGGCAAAGCTCCAAAAGCTGTTCACACACAGCTTATGTACTATACACCTCCCATTGAATGAGTTCTCACCATCGATGAACTAGCAATAAACTAGCTTGATTTTCTAAAGCCTGAAAACAGAGCCAAGAGGAGGTGCAGTAGTCTAGTTCTCGCAGACCCCTTGAATTACAATATTCTGAAGAATTATTATGGAATTATTTCCCAATGATGCCAAAAAACAAAAACAAAAAATCTTTAAGTAAATGCATCACAACAGATCATCAACACCACTAGTACAATTGGCTATTAAAAACCTCAGTAATGTTTGAGAGTGATCAGATCTGGTTAAAAGTCTCCCAGTTCATACCACATAGGGTTCCATCAACTGTTTAACATGTCTTAGACTGATATGAAGGATGATTTCACCGTAGTTATTAAAATCTTGTTATAATCACAAATGAATAAGGTGTGTTGTCGAAGGTTTTTGGATATACTTCAATACTTCCCCTGGCTATCTGTGCTAGTCTCAAGTTGACTGTTTGACTAAGTTAGCAGTAAATTTCCTAACTAATTATCATTTAAGTCATTTATCAAGCAGATGCCAAACATACACCAATCAGCCATAACATTATGACCACCTGCCCAATATTATGTAGGTCCCCATTTTGCCACCAAAAACAGCACTGACCTGTCGAGGCATGGACTCCACTAGACCTCTGAAGGTGTGCTGTGGTATCTGGCAAGTCCTGTAAGTGTTGCGGTGTGGCCACCGTGGATCGGACTCATCTGTCCAGCACATCCCACAGATGTTTGATTAGATTGAGATCTGGGGAATTTGGAGGTCAAGTGTCAAACTCTGATACACTGTATCGCTCCCCCTGTGCATCAATGACCCTTAGCTGCCTATGACCCAGTCGTCTAGCCATCACAATTTGGCCCTTGTCGACTTCTAACACATCAACTTTGAGGACAGAATGTTCACTTGCCCTAATAATCCCAACCACGACAGGACCATGAACCAGATAATCAGTGTTATTTAATTCACCTGTCCGTGCTCATAATGTTATGACTGACAGGTGTATGCTGGTTTTAGTTTCTTAAATGTTATGATTTGCAACTTTTATCTATAAATTAAATATCTGACTTTGGACTGTTGGTTAGCAATTGTGCCATACTCTGAACTCTAAATATATTGAATACAACATGTCCATCTAATAGCCCAACTTACCTGACCTGGTGTCACAAAAACAGACTTTAACTGTGGCTTAGATCCGAATAATAGTCAGACTTTTCTCTGTTTCCCCAGACATGATATTCAGACAAAAACATGGCTGACCGAAGAACCGTGTCAAACTTCTTTGCTCTGTTCATTCCAGCAGAAAATGTTGAAGAGTTCCAAGCACATTTTACTGGAAACATTCAGCAGAGTTTAACATTACAACAACCTAGTCCTTCCAGTAGCATAAAATGTCACTGTAAGAGAGACCTGTAGTAGAACTAAATTCTGTGGCTTCAAGATGTGGTAGGGCTCAGTCCAAATGAACATGACTGAAAATGTCCTCACTGCTGTATGTTTTTGACAGGTTCTTCCTAATTACTCGTTCCACAACTCTTTAACAAAATTAGCAATAGCTAAAGTCAAATGAGCCTGTCTTTATTTTTGTGATACCGGCCAACGTGCATTAGACTATTTAAACACTACAGACCAGTCTAAATTATCTTTGTGAAACTGACCAATGGGCAGAAATAAGATCAACCTTGACTCCTGGCCAACTGAAGCACTGATTCTTAAAAAAAATATATATTTTTAAAATCTTTAATAGTTTGTGAATACTTTGAACACAATGTGCATGCAGTTCGCAGGGTTACTTGTCAATAATTCTCACATGCCTGTAAAATTTATCTGCAATGACCATGTTAATCCCCACACATGCAGAACACACTGCCCTTGTTTAGAAGGCTTGGAAGTAACTACCAGTGTGTTTAAGTAGCACTCATAATGATTAAACTGGTCATCTGGAGGTTCACAAGTTCAGTATAACGCAAGTCCTCCATTCACAGTGCATGCGGTTTCCATCACAACGCAGTCCTAGTTTAAATATACTTAGTCTTTTAGAGCGATTTAAAATCACAGATGGCTAACTCAGACTGAAACACGTCCTTTTGAATTAATGCAGCTATTAACAGCATTTACACCCAACTTGACTGCTTTAAAGCATGCATGGCCAATGGACGCACCCTTAAAACTTTCAAAGACAACCAGTTTCGAAACAGATATTAAAAGAAAAGACAACAAATATGTAAATAGCCTGGGTGCACATAAGTCTCCCATTTGCACAGCCAAAAATAAACATTTTAAAGAGGAAAAATGTTTTAGAGCCATTTATAAAACCCTGAAATGCACAAAACCAATTCTTTCAACACTTTCTCAAAGTAAAGTGGTGTATTAAATCAGAATTAGGATTTGCACAAACCAGTAAGCATTCGTCACGCAATTTTTTGGATTGCTGACACGACCATAATCTCTATCTGAATGTTTTTGGTTTGACTGTCTACATGTGGGGTGGATGGGGTTGACATGAACTGTCCCATAGTCCCTCCCACTGGGTCTGGCATTCAGGTACAGCTCCCTCCCTTTCTCCCTCTATAAAGCCTCTCATGTTAGCAGTGTAAACTTCAGACTTCAACTCATGGCAAACTCTTTATAGCCTTGGAAAAAATACCTAACTCTGCTAAACAGTACACAACACACTTGGATGTGCATCCTAAATTCTCTTCAACACATTACAAGATCAAACCTGAGGTAAGTGATTTTTTCCACACTTTTAATTTAACTTTAGGATTACTTTTTAAATATGCTAAAGGAGTCCTCAGGTATTGTAAATTGATGTATTGTCAATTTAGGATGGAGTTTAAAGGACTATAAGTTAAGTAAAGATTAAATTTTTTATTTAGTGATTTTGGGTGCACTGATGGTTGGATGTTCAATAATAAATGTTCTTCAATAACCTGCCAAACAAATCCATTAATACTTATTTGTATTTGACAAACTACACAGACTGTGATTTTTAACCACCCTGTTGTGCAGCTACTAAGGCTATTGAATGCTGTCTTAAACTAATCAATCAACAGTTGTGGCAGCAGTTTAACGTTAACCTAAATATAATTTATTTATCTTTACCAGCTTCTAGCCAAAATGAGATTAGCCCTGCACACTGTTATCTGCTGCTGTGTTTTCACCACTGTCCTGCCACTGGTAAAAGGTGCCACAGAGGAGCTCAACACCAGCCTGAAAAAAAGGTGAGTTGCCTGATCAACAAGCACTGTGAGAAGATTGTGTTCATTTTAAAGAAAAAGCTTAATCCGACTGTCCTTTAGTATTCAAATAATATATATATTTTTTAAATCAGCCAATGCTGAAACAAATATAACCCATGTTTGATAAAGATCGCAGAACAGTGATAAACATATGTTGTAAGCAATTTATGCAATTGAAAAATAAACTTGTCAGTGTTCGCTGGTGGATAGACTATGTGGTAGAGACACTGTCTACTTCAAACATGTCTGACATTTTTTGTACTGCAATTTCTTGTTGCTCATTAGACATTAATGCTCATACTAATATATCTGGGATGAGCTGATATCAGCCCAATATGTCAGCCTGGCAGATTTATCGGTCCAACCATTTTTGCTTGTCAAGAATAAAAATGGTATTTTCTGAAAACAAGATTGGCCATCTGTCTTGAGCTACACTGACACCAAATGACATATCATATTTTGGAAGTGTGATGTATCACCCAATGACTGTACCCTAACTATCTTTCTGTAAACTATTGTCAGTTTCTGTTTTCACAACCTGTTCTGTTCTTTGTGGCAGGCTTATAGTATGGCTGCAGAACCGTATGAAGAGAGATCTGCGCAACTGCTTAGTTGCCAATGAGCTGTACTCTGATATCCATGTTGGACCACAGCAGGACGGGAATGCAATAACTGTCTCACCTACATCAAGGTAACAAGAAAAGCCACATTTAGAGGGCGTTTTTGATTAATTTATTTGATGGGCCACAGTGTAGAGATAGATAAGAAATGCGATGAGAGAAAGGGGTATGAAATGCAACAAGGATCCCCAGCTGGAACTGAACCAGGAGCATCCCAGTTTTATGTAGTACCTCTTAACCATTATACTATCAGGAGGTGCCACAGATGCTTTCTGATACAGGAGTTTTTACATTCCACATGAATTCCAAATGAAATGTCCACCATGTAGGAAAAAAAAGCTATTTTTAAGAAGATGAGCTGACTACTGTGGATGATCTATCTTCTACTGAACTGAAATTGACATGCATTCAGATAAATATTGTTGACAATTTGAATTTAAACCTTGTGGTCAACATATTATGTTCTGCCAGGTCAGATTTAACAACCCAGGCAATCTGCCTGAAAACAGAGCATAAATATCTATTTTCCTTTTCCAGCTTTGGACTAAATATCAGACCCAGGAGGTCTCCATCATCCAAATCATCTGGCTGCGCCCTAGTCACATGTATATACCACGACCTGCTTGACCGACTGCAACGCCTCCATGACCAAAAAGAGCCAAATGCCCCTATGAGCAAGATTGGCTTGAATGGCTACGGACGCCGACGCCGCTCACTCCAGGAAGTCACTCTGCTTGCCCTCCAGACAAGAAGACAAAGAAGGAACACTAAAGCTGGTCAGCAACTCCGCAGACACAAAAGCACACGCACAATGGCCTAAGACAGGAATGGAAAGGCAAAGGAGAATCCTTGTTGGGGTTATTTGCTCACAGCAGATGAAGATAAGTCCCCTCAGAGGTTTTATTCCACAGATTTACAACTAGATATATGGAAAGAATGGCTGCTACATCTGTACAGTCCTTCAGAGGAAGATTTGCTCAGGTCACTCACATATGTGAAAGCGAGATTCCAATAACAGATACTGTTTATGTATGCTTAAGTGCAGGTTTCAGTGTGTCTGAACAAGTGTGTGATTTATGGCTAAATTCAAGTCAGACTTGTACGACTTGACAAGAATGTCTGTCTCTTCTTCAGCTTCCAAAGTGTGCTTGGCAGCTGAGACAGAAGACAATCCCTGAAGACCTTCTCTAACGTACCCATGAACTGAGGAGGAACCGAGGCCACGAAGGGGGAGGACTTTTTTTAATCAAGAAACATACATTACTGGACCCCAAACTGCAACAAGCAGGAACCTACCACAAGTGAACTGAATGTGATGAACTGCTTGTGAAGTGCAGTTTATACATAGTCTATACTTTATACTAGGCCTATATATAGTTAAAAATATGTAATTATCAGCTTGTATATAAGGATATATAAAGCCACCTTATATTTAAGCATACAATACAACTATATTTTTATACAGCCAAAATACATATTAAACATGTCTCTTTGTGAATTTTAACTTCAATGAAGTATGTATCTTAACTGTGTAAATAATTATCTTGTCCTGTATTCTTCATGTGAATTAAGTCCATTATCACAGAGTTATGTGTTAAACCAACTGCCTTAACATTACTGTGGAGATTATACTGTGGTGGTTATAAATGAATCATATTAGAGATGTTTTACAGACATTTGTTGGATGGTGAATGTCATCTTAAAAACAACTTCAAGTTTTTGGCCAGACGTTGGAAGCTATGGAAAGTGGCATAAAGCCTTTTTGCTATAAATTAGAAGGACTGATGAGATAATAAAAGTGTTGTGCTGCCATCTAGCTTTACACTAGGCAACATGTAAAAAAAATGCAGGCCGAGCTGTTTCAAAATCAATGTAGCTTCAACAAAGCACTTACTGTGGTTATGCTGAATGTTTTATCTTAACAGTCTTAGTTGGAAATTGATCTGCTTTTTCTTTTGAATGCAATAAACCCTAATTAACTCATAGTTCAGCTGAAATTACTTGACATGGTATTAGGTAACATGATTTATGTCTTGTGATAAACATGGCAGGAATTGTAATTGTTTTCAGCTGACTGTTGTGTCTTCTTTTTTAAATGAATGAAAGCAACAATGAAAAGACCTTGAAGCAACTTTGATGTTATTTGGTGACCTAAATATTCTGCTTTTTGCATGCATGTACTGGTGTTAGTAGGCTCATGGGTAACACATAAATGTGCTTTTTCATTTTATGCGTGAGTATGTGTGAGTCTTAAAAATGTGAACCAATGGCGTGCATTCCTTTCTAAAAATACATGCTTTATCAGCTGCACTTCTAAAATTAAATTTGTCTCGGGTCAACGTGTTCCTAAAATCGTGTAAACAACTCATTTCAACAAAATGAATTATCTTTTGGCAAAGACAACCCAAGTTTTGATGAATGGAGAGAAAGTAGTTGTGTACTCCTCTTCAAACCAGGAACCAGGAACACTCAAATGAGGACTAAATAGAGATATTAATCACTATGGAATTTGACCTCCACTGATAGTCAGCAGAGTGGTCACGCTGTGCAAAAATTACAAACTATTTCACCATTAATTATTTTATTTCCATTAAAACATAAAAGCCTCCCCCATTGGAATAAGTAGATTATTAAATAAAACTAGAGAATGGGTGTGAATGCTGACTGTTGAAAGGCTTACGCTAGACTGAATTGCTGTTTCTAAACATTCAATAATATTAATAATCTGTAAAAGGTAGAAGATTACAAAGAACGGCGAAAAGCTGTCACTAGCCTGAATCCCTGGCTTTAATGTGTATGAATTATTTTGTATTAGCTGAAGATGTATTCCACTTGGAAAAGTGAGAAATAGTCTAATTACTATTAATGTAACTAAAAAGTTGAATATATCTCATAAGGTTTGAATATAGTTTCTGAAGGATTAGATAGAAGTTGACAAAGTATAGAAATGACTTACAAAAGGCAAAGGGATTAGGAATGCAAACTATAGTATAATGTAGGAGAGAATTGCATTATCTTGTCTGATCCGTCTGTCCATCTGTCCGTCTGTTTGTCCATCTTAGCTCATCTCAATCACTTCCGTGTTGCCATGGAGATGGTATCTCCATGGCAACCTAGAGTAGAGTCAAACATGTGACCACACTGACTGTTCTTCTTCTTCTGCTTCACTCTGGAAATTTTTGCTCCAAATTTAGTTAATGCTACAACTTCAGTTAATACAGCAGTTGGTTGCCGCTCTTGTCGCTTGGAAGATCATAAAAGACAAAAAACATTTGCTTCTGTAGTTACATGTGTAGCCAGGTGAACAAGGGTCACACAGGGTCTTTGGGCTGTTATAATAGTGTTATTTAGTTTGCTTGAGGGATTACATGGAAATGTATTGGTAGCAGTACAAGGAGATGGCTAAGTGCTGAGATCTGTAAATGAGTTTTGCATGTGTATTTCCACCACGCTGGAGGCAACACTGGACAGCGGGGTCAGCATGAAAAGTGACAAAGTACATTATAAACAGAATCATCTCATAACGGTGTATGCTGACTATTTAAATAAGCTGTGGCCATTTTGTATGTTTTTCTGCCTAATTTACAGAAGGTTTTCGTATAATATATGTATGAGTCAGCATTCACACACAATTAATGGTTTACATCTCTATGACAATGCTAAAGGCCCTATCTGTTTGCTTTGTCTGTTCTGGGCTACTGTAGAAACATTGCGGCCTCCATAGAACAAGATTGTCTTATCTACAGGTATCTGTAAATAAAAACAGCTCATTCTAAAACAATGATTCTTATTTTCAGGTAAATATACACTAATGAAAAGATACCAATGAATATTATATTCCATTTCTGCCAATAGAGCCTCCGAAAAGTTATACACTGGACCTTCAAATCAACTTTTTTCCAATTTCTTCAAATGAGAATCAATATTTTTGCTAATTGTTTTTTGTATTTGTAATATAATGTAGTTTTCTGTGAGCTCTCTTTCCAAATTCCAAAATATATCATTATCTTTTTGATTTTTCAAATATCAAGTATCTGTCGGGCTAAACTCATAATTACAACTAAAAGTGTGACATTATTTTTTTCCCCTGTTGTCGGCTCACATTACGATCTGCAGGACATGTACTAAAATTACTTCAAAAACTATTTCTGCAAAATCAACTCAACAAACCAATGACACCTCAGAGAGTATAACGCAAATGTAATAATCTGTTGTGCCTTTATTGGATGACCAGTAGAAAGCAACAACAAACATTGTGGCATTGTGTGTGTAGATAATGTAGTTACTGTTTTTAGACCATACCCTTTGCAAAAGTGACTTTAAATCAATCTATCCTGCATAATTTAAATGTACCAGTGCCTTTATTAAAATATGATATCAAACTACAATAATATAAAATATTCTGTTTCAAGAAATACTGTAACAATGGAAAAGTTAAGGTGCATGTAATTCAAATGCTAATACAACCATCCAGAGGCCATGAGAGAGATGGAGGATTTTCCTTTACTGTCCAGATGGTGGTGTTGTAAGCCTTACTCCCCCACTCTGGAACCACCTAAGTGCCACAGAGTACTGTAGGTAGTCCACAGATACATTTGTGCCACTGATGTTCATTAGCATTCATTACATTGACAGTAACTTTGCCTTAAAACATTTTGAGGTAAGCTTTTCTTTTTTAATACTGACCCCTTTTCCCCTCCTGCATCTCTCAAAATGCGAAGCACTTGGTGAGTAGAATTTGTACTGTACATAAGAATTCAAAGATAATTACGACTGTGGATTTACTTTGTCAACACTATTGTACAGTGTTTTATAAAAGGTAACTATACAGTTAAGTAGATTTGTCAAAGGTTTTATTCAGTAATTAATTATGATCGGTGATGTCACTAGGCATTATGGGGTGTTTTGGGTCTTTCATTGTGACACACCCTCATCGAGGCAACCAAGCCGAATCTGACCCTGACCTGTGTCACAGCAGCATAAAGTGCAGGGCAAACTTTAATGAACAACTTCCTTCTCTCTTCAAATGGGTAGGGAAACCCCCAACTATTAAGAAGGCATTAATACATTTTACTAAAACATACTAATACATTACATATTAACTGTAAGTACTATGCGACACAAGACTTTATGCACATTTTTGTACAATTGTAACCTCTCAAAAGTGGGCGTTTGCCTGCACGATGCACTGCACATCCTGAATAAACATAGAGGGGAGTGGTTTCAACATAGTTTCCATGCTTTTGAAAAAGTGACAGAACTAGTATGAAGACAAGCTTCCTTTAGCACTTCCTCAAGCAGATCACTTCCTCAAAGTCATTTTGAGTGCTGTAAACTTTAACGTAAATTTTGCACCCGTTACATTTGTTAACACTGGCGTTGAAAGAGTAAACCGGCTGTGCCTCTGCATGCTAGAAGAAGCTGCTCTGACAAGACAAGTCTTCTGTCCTGTGACGCCTAATAAGGGTCTCTACAGTCCCAAGAGGTGTTAACATTGTGCACAACCCTTCAAACAGTAAGTACACCGCTGTTACAATGACTTTTTGCACCAGAAGTTTATAACTTTTTGCTCTTCTACCTATAGTCACATCTTGTCATTTATCACTTTTACCACTCATTTATTCTCTCTAGCACTTGCCCTACTTTGTACGGTGGTATTTGTTGACAACAAAACCTCAGGTCTACTTTGCCCTAAAGGTTATTACAAATAAAATATTCTAAATTAAAGATGCACATTTCTATTAGAGGATTTTCAGTCCTATATTATTTGTTTTCCTGACTGGAACACATCTAGGTGCATCAGAAGATAATTTGTAGTTGTTTCACAGACAAAAATGAAGAGTTAAAAGTTGTACTGTGGTTAACACTACTGCTTCACACAAAAACGTTGCTGGGTTTTTATTTCTCAGAAATTCCTCGTCTCTTCTTCTTTGGAGTTTGTACAGTATATTCTACTCATGTTTGTAAAGGTGAATTGTTTTTTTTTATTTCCACATAGTGCAAAGACAAGCCATATCAGGTACATTGGAGACTGTATATTTCCCATAGGTGTGAGAGTCTCTATCAGCTGTGATGGACAAGCAACCTATATATTGTATCTAGTGTCCAAAGTCCAATACGTGCTGGGAAAAATGTGCAATAAGTCTCAGATGTGGGCTATTTGTTGTAAAGATTAATAATGTGAAAATGTATACCTTTCAAAAAATAGAATTAAACAACATTCACATAATTTGTTCTTATTTATTACATTACACAATTGCCTAACAATTATGTTTATGCAAATGCAACAACAACAGTTAAGACAACTAAAACAATTCTATTACAGTTAGGGAAAGTTATATTACAGTAAAATAAGTAATTTAGAATAAGGATTAATTAATTTACAAAACCTATCCTAGCATGAATACAGAACTCATCTTGTCTTAATGAGACACTTCCATTTCCCACCCCTTTTTACTAATCAGACTACAGTTTCTACTAATGACTGCTTGTGAACCTTTTATTGTGGAAAAAACAATTTGCCTTTTTGTTAGTCCATTTGTACAATCAATTATCTTACACGATTCACTGTAACAGGGACAATTAAACACTGGAAGAGGAACACTGATAATTTGAGTCTAATGCACTTGTGTTTGTTTAAGCCGAGACAGCGAAACAAATCGGTTGCACTGAAGTAAATGACTAAGTTGGGTGGATACTGTGACTAAATTGGGCGGATTCTAACCGTCTACCTGGACAGGTACGGAGCTCCATCCAACCACAGACACTGAAACTTGAAATTTTAACTCAGTTCTGTTGACAAATAAAGATTAATTTGAGAATCAACCAGTCACTTACTTTGTGTTGCCCATGAGCACTTGTCAGTTATCTTCTACCATGAGCAACTGTAGAGTTGAGGTCATGTTGAGCCCTTTTACAGTGTGGACATTAGCCTTTAGCGATCTCATGATACACTGTAACACAACATGCAACATCAATAACAGTCTTCAGCCATGCTAGTGGCTCTGTGAACCTGTACTTGAGCTAAATGTTGCTAAATGCTAATGTGTATGCTAGCAATGTTAGTGCTAACATGGCAATGATATGGTGGTTATAGTCAGACATTTAATTAAAGTGATAAATGAATTTGCTAAACAGGTACACATGTACTTAATTACTATGTAAAGGAGTAAAGATGGATTGTACTATTTTTTTCCCAAATATGGCAACAAAACAAACTAATAATCTTGTAGAATGATATTATAAATATTCATGCATGCCAACCCTTTTGATTTGTCTTTGATCTGTCCCTCTTCTTTTTAAATTCCGTACTTATACCACATATTTGTCAGCTGTGCCTCTCCTCACGAGCATCATAAGATGGTCCCTTTAACTCAACTGTTGCCATCCTGTGACATCCTGCTTATCCAGGAACACATAATTCACAAGCTGATAAAAGATCAGGTGTATGTGTGATTGGAGCAAAAAACACTTCTGATATGAACAGCCAGGCTCATTCACACCTTATCATTTTGAAAGAGCAACTGCCAATGAGGAAACACCAACACTTAACCAGACCAATGGTGTAACTTCATCACTCATTCAGTAACTCACTAAATGATGGACTTTAGTAGGGCTTGGCCCACTTGCTGCAGTCCAGCCACTACGTCTACAGTGGGTAACATTAAATGCATTTCTAATAAAGGTTACACATTTCTGAATTATGATATATTTTCACGTTCAACCAAAAACCTTCTGTTATCTTTGTAACCACACTTTTTCTACACTTTCACACATTCTCAAAATGCAGAGTCATCCTTAGTCTGCCAAACTTGAAAAAAACAAAAAAACAAGGAAG